TAACCAGTGGATCACTGCGCCTCCCATCATTTTACCAAATCATTTCACATCCGATTTCTTGTCTGAACATTACATTTCAAAGTTAAACTATGTTCGTCCTGTGGTACGGATATGTTATATGTAGGGTCAATTTGTAATAGTAAGGTTTTCTTTGCTATTTAGGTGAATAAATTTAAGCAACAAAGAGGCAAGGTCTCCATTGCGTGTCAAAACAGTGTGCCTGCTGAGAATGGAACCGGCTGTAACTAACTTATACGTAGAACTTTTAGCTGTAAAATTACTATGTTTCATCGTAAGTACTTCCAATAATAGTGAATAACCTTTTGATTCGCTTGTGATAAGACCGTCTGTAGCACCAGAAACCAAGAATAAAACATAGCACCAGCAACAGAATGAAGGCGATACCAGATACGATGTAAATCATCCTTTCATTGAGTTGACCAGAATTCCTTTCCGTAGGCACTGAAAAAGGATAATAAATTTATATCTTAAGGAGGCTGGAAGTTTAATTAATGTTTGAGGACTACATTGGAAATAACTGGATGATCAACATTCCGAAGGCTGCCAAAATTGGATGAAGTCATAACTCAATTTGCCAAATTGAATTTTTTTTTTTTACTACATGAAAAAGTGTGTCGTCCTGTTTTGCTTTAATAATATCGCACTTGCAGCTGTCTACAGTTTATGATATTTGAGACTACTGTACTGTTCAAATGAAAGATATAGAAAGATGTATCTGCGAGCCTGTGACTACAGGCGCCACAAGTTTATGACCCTTTAATCGTTCTTTTAAACATTATAATTTTTTCACAATTTAGTAAATCGGCGAATTGGTGGCGAAGGTTACACGTATTGATCAATAAATGAGCGTTTTCTATGCAAATTTAAATTATCTACCTAGCTACGTTTGGAATGATCTTCCTTGATTTCGTTTTCAGAAAATAGAAATGATCAAAAGTCGAAAAAAATGACCTTTGACCCTATAACATTTTTTCGCAAAAACGTGGACGGTCATCCCAAATGTGAGAGGATGGATATAATTGAACTGCATCTTAAACTCGTTTTTGTTGAATGATCTTCCTCAACACTAATTCTTCAAATATTTGTTATTTTCCGCTATACGTCACGTCAAACGTCACGTGACAATGCTAAGGACGTTAAAACCTAACTGTGTGCTAAATTTGATTTCACTGTTACTTGTGTCTTTGGAGAAATATGTAATAAATTATTTTTACCGATAAACTTGGTGAACTTTATAAGCTTAATCAGCCTCTTTATGGTCCCACCCGAGTACCGTGTGAAACCAAGGGCGGTGAAAGTGAGGCTGCCGAAACCAGGGTGAAGACTAACCGATATCCTCTTTGTTCAACCTAGTCGTCTGATTTAAATAACATTTTCACTTGGTTTCCAGTCACTAGAAGACCTTAAAAAGCCCAGAAGCCCGGTCTGAGTAGGGTTAATGGGTATCCGCGAACTTATGGCTAAGGATGCCAAATGTCCAAGACATGACAATGTTAACGTTCATTATAGCAATCGATGACAAAACTGTGTCTCGGTGTATTGAAAATTACTACGCTCAAGAGACATCGTCTCTTACCACGCTATTGCTCTTCGGTTTGCAGAAAACTCGTGTTCCAGTTTCTCTCGTGAAAATGAAATGCGGTCGGGGATCTTTATGCCGGCGATATAAGGCGAGATTGCTGTCATCATTTTGTTAGCGATGCCCAACGAGTTTGCCAAGCAGAAAGATCTCTGATGAGTACCTTGGCCGGCACGAAACGAGCTGCGTAAGACTAGCCACGAACAATGTACGATAACAAGTAACTGTCAACTTTAAATAAAATGTTAGAAATTATTAAAGTGGGAGATAAACTTGGTGTACTCTTCAAGTTTTATCAGCTTCCTTATGGTCCCACTTACCGCTTGA